GGATGACAAGCATTCAAAGTTTCCTTTTCAAGCTTTGGCTAACTTAACAGAAGAATCAAGCTTACCATTGGTGACTAAAGAACTGAATATTTCCAAAATGAGAGAAATTTGTACAACCAAGAGACTCAAAATATCTGAGCTAAACAATAACAAATTTGATCAAACAAGAATAGAATCTTTATATCAGAAAAAAACCTTGAAAGAAACAGCTGGCCCAAAGCAAGATGACAGGGATGATGTTATTGAAAGTATTCTTACTACCAATAAACCTCCACCAAAACCTATCTCACCATTACATTTAACTCCAAAGAAACTCCAAATCTCTTCCACCTTGCCAGAAAACTCGAGCAGTAAAACAAATTTAAATGAAGTTTTAAAGGTATGAAGTAACTTTTCTTGAATTTAAAATTTTAGAATAGAACTTGTTTTCCCTTTGTCAATCATCTTGTTAAATATACATGAATCTGTTTATAATGGGTTTGATTTATTTTTATGGCTTAATGTTTTTCAAAAGTCAAACTTCCCTATTGTATTATGAAATGTGAGAAATTTTACTTAGAAATAAATAAATAAATTGGAATGTTTCGGTAACAGTTACCTTGTTTGATCTTTATACCATTTTGTTTTTCAAGAAGAAAAACTATTTGAATCATGTCATTGTCTCTTAAGCTAAGTAAGCATTTAGGTATGTAACTAAGTTAACATTATATTGGTTTCAAAACCCATTTCTTTAATTCTGGTTCACAGTGTGTGTTTACCTACATCATTTTTGTAAAACTAAAGATTTTTGATCATACTAAGCTAGTGATGTATTAGTTTCAAGGACAGTTACTTTGAGATCAGAAGTGTAACCAGCTACAAAGTAAATGTATGCTATGAAAGCAATTAGATTATGTGGGAAATAAAAAAATTGGTATTGTTTGTGATTAACTAGGAATAAAGATATTAAAATAATTATGTTTAGGGTAAGATAACACCTGAAGAAATGCGAGCCAAATTAGCAAAGTGTGGAAAGTTGTCAGAACTTCGAGAATGCCTATCTAAAATTAAGAAATGCTCAGCTGAGATGAAGGAGTCCAAGCCTCATCTTCAGACGTTTTCTTCCATGGAAGTTACCGTTGAAATTCAATCACCTTCAAAAAATAGGTAAGTATATCACAACTCTTAGGTATTTTTTAAAGTATTTTGGGAAGCAGAATACCTAGAGAAGCAAACATGAAATTTGGTTTCTTTGGAATTGTTTATTACATCTTGTTGCATATGTTTTTTTATATCATCATGTTAACAGGATGAGTATGTGGCATCCACTAATGTAATTCCTTTGTTTTCGGAAAACTTAATACTTTTACTGTGTTGTGTTATAGGACCTGTGGTATATCTGTTTGTATGTGTCTGAAAATTCATTTGGGATAAATCTTGGGTTCTCCATCGTTCACTACTTGGTTTTTATAGGGATGATAGAGGAGGAATGTGAAAGAATAGGTGATTATTATTTCCTCTTTTTCTAACTTTTCATGGCTAAGCAGTAACATACAAACTGAAGAAGTAAAGAACCAAATGTTCAAGAAGCTCCAGGATTTATCCCAAAATGGTGAAAGCACTTTATCCTGCTGAAGATATGCAGTAGTCATATGATCTATACAACAAATAACCACTACTAATTATGTGCATAGCCAAGACAAATACATTTGTGTAAGGATACAGAGAAAGAAGTTTAATATATGTTGCAGGTTCTATGGCATAATGTTACCAGATGCATGTAAAGTGTGTACTGCAAACAAATATATCAATATGAATTAATTATGTAACATTGGATACTACTGAAAGATGAATATGAAATTACAAAAGAAAGGATACTTCCATTAAAGATAATGCACCTGTTTTAGTGGTTTTGTAACCTTATAGCAATAACTGCAATTTTACAACAAAGTTATCAAGGAAAATACTGTTCTGCGTATAAATCAAACACTAGTGTTATGGTGAAGGGATGACCTTTATAAGCTGTGTATGTCTACAGGTTATGTTAAAATGTGGCAAAGGTCTTTAAGTAAAGAAGTAAATAGACTTCTGTGTAGGAATAAACCTCTAGTTAGCCTTGGACATGTCTTCATTTGATGATAAAACTTACCAAGGATCTTCAAGTAATCTGGTTAAGTAGACTATGTGTATGAGAATAAACCTTTAACCTTGAATAAGTCTACAGATGACGATAAAACTTACCAAGGATCTTCAAGTAATCTGGTTAAGTAGACTGTATGTAGGAATAAACTTTTAGTTAGACTATGTTTGTAGGAGAAGGTTCAGTACAACCTCCGAGATTGTCACTTAATACTCAGCTCAACTTTAAACACAAAATTTTTCTGTTCTTTTTAATTATAAGCCAATTCTACTCCAAGTTGAGTAGAAGCTTGCTTATAAATCAGAACAAAATGATAAAACTTGCTTGGGCAATACATTGCTAGTAGAAACAATATTTGTGAGTTGTTTTTTTTATCATATGTCAGTCACTATGAACACTTAAACTGTATTCACTGTTTTTAAATCAAAACAAAGCCTGTTGGAAGACATGAAAATCAGTAATTTAAGTCTACAACAAAGTTAAGAATTTTAATTTCTTCCTAAAAATAGCATAATGAAATATTTTTCAATTTTCAAGGTTGCAAATTTATCCAAATATTACATATAATAATAAAATATTTTTATCCGCAGAGCTACATAATTTGTAAAGTTCATTTCAGGTTTCAAACTATTTCACCCACTAGTCTGTTTTTCTTGCAATACAATAAAACAAGCCACACAACAGGTCATGCTTTGTACCTGAGTGTTTCTTCCTTATCTGCCACCTGAATAGGTAGCCTACACTTTGATTCACTTCAAATATACATTAAAGATACCTATAAATAATTACAGGCTATAATTAAGCCTATAATCTAGTAGTGTGTGTTTTAAAGTAGACAACTTAAAGTAAGGAACAAAGAATGATGTTAAGTTTCCAAATGATTTTGAAACCTAATTCACTAAATTTTGTAGCTGTAGTAATATTTTATTATTGAAGCTATTTTTTGTTAAATGTGATATTATATGGTATAATATTGTTGTAATGTTGTTTTCCTGTTGAGAAGTTTTTTTTAATTGTGTGGTGAAAATAATTTGCAGTCCAGTCCACGTTAATGATAACAAATTGGTTTATTTCTACCTTCACATTTTTGCATGCTATAACTTTGTGGTAACTTTAGGCCACATTTACAAATGACACTAACTGCACTATACTAATGTAAAAGTGAACTTGTACAAAGTAACTCTGTGTGTGTCACAGCTAACATAGATCCAAAAACCTACACTCTGAATGATTCACTCTACAGGTTAGAAAACAACACACTAACTTCTTAAGACTTCACTGACCCATACTTAGTATCTACCCTTTAGTGTACTAGAAAACTGTGTTGTCAAATTCCTTAGATGTTGTAGGTTTATCCGATTTCAACAGCATTATTGTGACCAGCGGCTCTTTCTAGCTAATAAACAAGTTACAACATTAACAGTATAGCTTAGTTTCTTTTTAAAATATTGTTTAAAGAGTTTTGCAACAGAAAAAAAAAATACACAGTGATTTTGTTTTACTCACTGTTTTCCATAATTAAATTAGAAATTTTGTTTTATTTTTTCATCCAAAACAGATTTCTTACTTCAGACCATATTTTAGTCACTTTTTATTATTTTAACAATTGCATCAAATAAAGCAGGGGCATTGTTTTATTTTATTTAGAAAATGTACTTTTATCAGCATGTAGTTAAACGAGTAGATTTTTATTTGTTCAGAACTTTATATTGTCCCTGTGAGCTCCTAACTGCTGGAAAATTTACACATTAACTTTCACACACTACATTTCCTGCTAACTCCTGAAGTTCTTGGGCTACCAGTTTCCTAATTTTGTGATTCCTGTAAATTGGGGTTGAAACAAACAAGTACAAACATTAGATGTTATTTATATAGGATATGGACCATATTACAATGTTTAAATGATTCTTGATGGTTCTATTTATCCACAGTCCATCTCCTAGTCCAGTAAAGATAGCTCCTGAAAAACTGATCCCAGCCTATAAGAAATATAGTAGCCTTGCTGTTGACGAGCTACCATCCCTCTCACTGCCATACAAATACAAAATCCTTGCAGAAACTTTCAGATGTACAGAAACAATTGTCAGTATGCTTCACAATCGTCGAGAAGTTTGCATATTTGACAGACTTAAACACTCCGTTCAGAACATGATGAGAAGGTAAAGATGAACTCTTATCAGACTTTTCTCAATTTTCTCATTTTGTTTTTTATTTTTCATTTCACCTTCCACGTATTAGAATTTTATAAGATTTAATTATAAACAGTTGTCATGTTTGAATATAATAAAGAAGTGGGTTGATACATTGTTTATTGTTATATATATAGTTATATGAAATGGATGAATCACTTACTTGGGCTTATCAGTCTGCTGAGTAGTGTTCATTCAATATATACCGATTAGTCTGCTGAGTAACGTTCATTCAATATATACTTATTAGTCTGCTGAGTAGTGTTCATTCATTCAATATATACTAATCAGTCAACCAAATGAAGTATTCAGCAATTTAATAATGCTAATCAGTCTTATATACTAACCAGTCCACTGAGTAGAGTTCATACATTTAATATAGACTAATCAGTCTGCTGAGTAGTGTTCATTCAATATATATTAAATGTATGAACTCCCACTGAGTAACTGATTAGTCTATATTAAAATGTATGAACTCTACTCACTGGCCTGGTTAGTATATATTAAATGTATGAACTCTACTCACTGGCCTGGTTAGTATATATTGAATGTATGAACTCTACTCACTGGCCTGGTTAGTATATATTGAATGTATGAACTCTACTCAGTGGACTGATTAGTATATATAAAATGTATGAACTCTATTCAATGGCCTGGTTAGTATATATTAAATGTATGAACTCTATTCAATGGCCTGGTTAGTATATATT